GTCACCAGCATCGCTACTCTCATCATCGTGTCTACCGCTGTCGGCGTTGCCATGATACCGCGCCCGCTCAAGTCGCCGATTCGCGGTGAAGTGGCCGCTGGGTTGCGCCCAGCGGTCAGCGCCTCCGCTGCCGCGTCGGTGGCGCAAAACTAGCTGGCCGTTGCGCGCGCGCGTGCTAGGGTTGGCGCGGCCGCAAAGATCCACCAGCCAACGCCAAGCATGCATCGCAATCGCCACCGCATGGGTTTTGCACACCAAGTTGCGGGTGGGTGGGTGGGATGTTTGCAAAAACATGGGATACGTCAACTCGTTTGTTAAAGTTAAGTTTCCTCCTTATAGAAAATAATAGACTCTACCCCCCCCGGCGTTATCCACGCTCGTTTTTTCGGGTATGTAAATCATATATGATTCTGGCCACAGGTCCATCCTAAATATGAATCTGCATTATCCCAGGGGGGCCGGGATTGGTCCCCCTGAGGTTCCCTCTTTAAAAAACGATGCGCGGGGACATTTGTTGCTCGAACATAAGAGTTTTGCACGAATCGTTTGCAAAACATGGGACGGAATGCGCACGCGCGCGTCGGCGCGCGCATGCCGAAATCCTTCAAAAACTCGGTGCTGGAGAGATTTCGCAATCGAGTTTCCAGAAAACATGCAAAAAAACACAAGGTTTCGCAACACGGATTTTCTACAAAAAAAATCTTACGCGCGAATTCTTGCGATTTTTTTAGAAAACCGTAGGTTTTTTTCAAGATGGTTCACAACATGCAACCAAACGGGCTTCGCGCGCGCATGTCGAAATCTGTCGAACGCCCTTGCGCGTGTGCCGTCGCGAGAAACCCATGCAAAAAATGGGACGAAGTGCAGACGCGCGCGTCGTCGCGCGCGTATGCCGAAATCCTTCAAAACCCATCGGTTTCGGAAAGATTTCAAAATCGTGTGTCCAAAAAACATACAAAAACACAAGGTTTCGCAACACGGATTTTCAACAAAAACGTGCGCGCTCGTTCTTGCGTCGTCGTCGTCGTCGTCGTCGCCGTCTTCCCTCCTCCCGCGTCGTCGTCGTCGTCGTCGCCTACGTCGTCCTCTGTTTTTCCTCGTGTTCGTCGTCGTCGTCCTCTTTGGCGTCGTGGTCGTTTCCGTCGTCGTTGTCGCCGTGGTCGTCCTTCCTCTTCCTCCCTCGTCGTCGTCGTCGTCCGTCGTCGGCGTCTCGTCGTCGTCCCTCCTATTTCGTCGCCGTCGTCGTCGTCGTCGTCGTCGTTTTCCCTCCTCCCTCGTCTTTGTCGTCGTCGGCGTCGCCGTCCTTCCTCCTTCTGCGTCGTTCGCGTCGTCGCCGTCCTCCCTCCTCCCTCGTCGTTGTCGTCGTTGCCGTCGTCGCCGTCGTCGTCCTCCCTCCTCCCTCGTCGTCGTCTTCGTTGGCGACGTCGTCGTCGTCGTCGTCGTCGTCGTCGTTTTCGTCGTCGGCGTCGGCGTCGGCGTCGTCGTCGCCTTCGTCGTTGCCGTCTTCGTCGCCGTCGACGTAGCCGTCGTCGTCGCTGCCGTCGTCGTCGTCGTCGTCGTCGTCGCCGGCGTCGTTGACGTCGTCGTCGTCGGTGTCGTCGTTGTCGTCGTCGGCGTCGTCATCTTCGTCGTCGTCGTCATCGTCGTCGTCGTCGGCGTCGGCGTCGTCGTCGTCGGTGTCGTCGTCGTCGTCGTCGTCGTCGTCGTTGTCGGCGTCGGCGTCGTCGAGGTTGTTGGAGACGTCGTCGGTGTCGTCGTAGTCGTTGTCGGTGGCGTCGTCGTCGCCGTTGCCGCTGTCGTCGTCGGCGTCGCTGTCGTTGCCAAGTGCCATTTGGTACCCACCGTCACGGTCTTCAGAGATTTTGCGAACCAAGTTGCGGGTGGGTGGGTGGGATGTTTGCGCGAGCAGTGGAGTGGACAGCTTCAAGACAGTCAAAGTAAATTTCACCACATACCTTGTACAACATAGACTAGAGCACGTCGCTTGAAGGACGCACACTCCACAGTGCATAATGGCACACACACATACACACATATATATATATACACATATGTATACATATATATATGTATATAAAAGAAAATACCGCCCCCCCCCGGCCCCGGGTCCCACACCTCCCCGCCACATCTTGGAAACGCTCCCGGTACCGCTCCCGTGGCATTTCCGGGGAGCCTTCACAGCGCTCCACGAGGGCCCAAGACGCCCCCCAGGAGCCCTCAGAATGCGAAATGATGGCCGAAGGCGCTCCCAAGCAGCCCAAGTCAGCCTTCAAACGGTTCTCGAGGCTCCCAGGTGGCTTCCAAGAGACCCTAAGAGAGGTCCGAGAGGCGTCCCGGGCCGGCCCGAAGAGGCCAACATCGTCCATTGGAATTGTTTTTTCTATGTTTTTGGCTTCTCGCGTTTTCGAGCTTCCAACGGTCAGAGCGCCGAAGAGGCTTCCAAGACCGCCCCAAGACCACCCAAGAGAACCTCAGGACGGGCCAACAAGGCTCCAAGACTGCCGAAGAGGCGCCCAGGACAGCCCCAGACCACCCCAGAACAGGCCCAAGATGGGCCCAAGAGCGGGAGCAGGAGGCTTCCAGAGACTTCTGAGAGGCCTCCAGAACCACCCAGAGGCCCCCAACACCTCCCCGATCCCTGAGAGGTCCTGAAAAGACCCCGACGAGGCTCCAAGAACAGTCTAAGAGAGCTGCGAGAGCCGTCCCGAAAGAGCCCAAAGAGGGTAAAATCAAAAAATCGTTGATTTCCCCATGGTTTTTGTTCCAATCTTTTTCGCCTTCTCACGTTTTCCCGCTTCCAACCCTCAAAGATCGAGGATTTTGAAAAAAGGGAATTCCTAAAAAACAAAATGGAACTCCTACTCGGGGGGCCTACAGATCCCTTGACATCTGGCCGGTACCGCGCCTCCCGGCTTCCCGGGGAGCCCCCAAGACGCCAAAGGACAGCCCATGACGACCCCAAGAAGCTCCTAGAACGCAAAGAACGGCCCAAGACGCTCCCAAGCAGTTCAAAACACCTTGTGGACGGCTCTCCACACTCCCAGGAGGCCTCCAAAAGGCCCCAAGAGAGGTCCGAGAGGCGTCCCGGGAAAGCCCGAAGAGCCCCAAATCGTCGATTTGATTGTTTTTTGTATGTGTTTGGCCTTCTCGCGATGTCGAGTTTCCAACGGTCCAAGACCGCCCCAAGACCGCCCAAAAGACTCCCAGGACGGGTCCAAGACGGGCCAAGAAGCCCCAACATTGCCGAAGAGGCGCCTGGTACCACGCAGCCCGTTTTTGTTTCAAAGTGGTTTCCTATTCGGAGATCGCACACATCCCTTGACGTCTGGCCGGTACCGCGTCTCCCGGCTTCCCGGGGAGCCCCCATCACGCCGAAGGACAGCCCATAACGACCATAAGGAGCCCCCAGAACGTAAAGAACGGCCCAACACGCTCCCGCGCAGCCCGAGACACCCTTCCGACGGCTCTCCAGGCCTCCAGGAGGCCTCCAGAACCCCCAGGGGGTCCGGAAGATCCCACACCCCTGAGGGGCACGGCTAACAAAACCCGCGAGGCACAAACAAAGAACAGCGCCGAACAGCGCCGAGGAAATGGAAAAAAATGGGAATCCCACAATTCCTTCTTCTTCTTTTTTCCGAGTTTGGCCCCCAGTCTACTCTTGCACAACAGACTACAGCCCAGACCCTCCTCACCTCCCAAAAAAGAACTCAGGAAGGCTTCGAGGGCCCCAAATCGTTGAATATGGAAAGGGAATTAATGATTTCTGTGTTTCCGCACTTCCCCTTCTATACGATTCCGAGGCTTGCGCAGGGCCTCCAAGGGAGTCCCTGGACGCAAGAAGCGACCAACATGATATTACATGAGTTAGCCTATCAAGCCTAGCTAGAACTTGAGCACGCGCGAAGCGCGCGCGATGGTTCTAGTCGATAGATACAGATATAAACACATTTAGTGCGCCGCGTAGATTGCACCACTAATTTCGTATCGGTCGCACCACATACATTGCACAACTCAGATTGCACCACGTCGATCGCACCGCATAAAATGCGTACCTCGTAGAGTGCGCCACATCGATTGCACCACCTAGCTTGCACCACAGATACTCCACAACATAGGTTGCGCACCATGGATTGCACCACATCTACTGCACAACATAGGTTAATCCACATATACTGCACTTAAGATCTTGCTAGGAGCACAATGTTTGGGGTCCACGCTGGCTAACACATTCATTGCGGGAAGTGCCCCGTTGGAAGATCGTCTAATCGCGCCAAAATACAGTTGATGGGATTTCAACGCCGAGAATCAAGTTCACTGTCGCGTCCTGACAATATCAAATTGTGCCAGAACGCCTTTGGGGGGATTTCCACACCGCATATCAGCGTGACTCTTGCGTTCCGGCTTACCTAGATCTAGCTAGAAAACCATTCCTGGAGCTCAGCCATATTAATAGTTCAGACTGCTGCAAACATTTGAGACGAATGCCAGCGGCGCCAAGGCGAGAATCACATTTGAATTCGACCCGCCCTCCATCTGTGAAGATGTTGCAAACTTGAGAGACGAATGCGCGCGGCGCCAAGGCCCTTCTAAGGCCCCGCCCTCCATCCGTGAAGCTGGTGCTAAATTTAAAGGCGAGTCTGCGAGGCGTTCAGGCGAGATCCACATTTCGAAAGAGGCCCGCCCTCCATTCGTCACACCCCTGCATAATTGTTGGACGAATGCGTTCAGCGCTGGACGAGAGCCATATTTTGAAAAGGCACGCCCTCCATCTTTGGTCGCGAATTCCAAGCTTCAGGATCATACATGTTGAGGGCGTTCTAGGCGAAGCGCCCAGCGCGCCCCACTGACGCGCCTGCGTGTGCGACAGGGGGGCGTTATCTATAAGGAGAAGGGATGGAGGAGGAGGAGGAGGAGGAGGAGGAGGAGGAGGAGGAGGAGGAGGAAGAACGGAGGAGGAGGAGGAGGACGCTCCGCTGCCGCCGGCCCGCCCGCCGCGCGAGGCGACCAGTCGGCGCCCGGCGGACAGGCGGTCGCGCCGCTGCAGACACTGCGCTGCGTGTGCGCGGTGGCGCGCCCGTTCTTCGCCGAGCGCGCCTCGCGCGCGAAGGCGCCGCCGGGCCGCCGCCTGCGGCGAGCGCACTTCTCTCCGATAGTCGGAGGGGAGAAGATACCAATACCGTTGCTCGTCCTGGAGAGTACTCGTCGCCACGGTTGGATGCTCCCCGAAGTTTTGGTCTGGGCGTTCCCTTGGAGAGGTCAGTGTCCTTTTGTTGCCCCAGATGCGTGCCGCAGGAAACCGGAGCCGTTTGAACCGACACTGGCGCGTACGCAATGAAGCCGTGCCCGCGTAAGGTCGTGCGTAAACGCTCTCTTCTCCACGCGGTGTCCCACGCTGGCGGTCCGCGTGAGCCACCGCGTAAGGTCGCTACGCCATCTCGCGTAATTAAGGCCCTTGTCTTTTCGTCGCTCAGATGAGCGCGCCTCGCGCGGCGAAGGCGACGGTCGGCGCGGGAATTGGCGCCGTCGGCGACGGCGACGGCGTCGGCTGTCCTGCAATCATCCAATCCCTCGGCAAACATGGCCCCGCCAGGCGTTCAGAGCCCCGAGTTATCAGGGCAAGGGGTGGTCGCGCTGGAGTTTCCCCAGGTTGTGCTTAGATTTCGAGTTGTCCCGGCTCACATCCTGCCCCATGCAGATATTGTCCAGCACCCTTCTGAAACAGGAGCCATCCCGGATCAAGCGGTTCCAGTGTGTTCTCTTGGATCTCAGGAGGACCGAAGACACAGACATAAATGATCGTCGATTCCGTGGAAAATATGGGAAACTATGGGAAGTGGAGGGGAAGACGAACATCCAGAAACCCCCGCTTCGTCGCCACCGTTGGATTCGCCTCGAGATCCTGGTCAGAACGCGCCCCGAGGCCCTGGGAGCAGTGGTAGCAGTACCTGTTAGCTTCCCCAGGGGACAACTTCTGCACGCGTACCGCATGCTGTGGACGAAGGGAGCCGTCCGTTCTTGCTCTCGCTGCATACGGTAGTTAAGTACCCGTGTCCACCGCCCGAGACGTCGTCGATATGGATAGATTGCGACCCCGCGTATATCCGTATCCACCGCCCCCTGGGGTCCCAGGATGGATGTGGAGGAAGCCCCGGCTGGCACCTCGGCCGCGACTTTTCGACCTGCTCATGGTGGGTGGGTGCTCGTGCCTGTCACTACACAGTGCTTCAGTGCTGCAGCTGGGCACGGCAGCGGTCTCTGGCAGCTCTCTCCATTCTTTTGCTCCCTTCCTCTTCCTGCTTGCTCTTCCCTCCTCCCTCGTCCTCCTTCCTGGTCCCTCCCCCATCCTCGCTATTGCTCACTCCTCCTTCTCCTCCTTCTCCTCCTCCTCCGTTTCCTCTTCCTCCTCTTCTCCTTCGTCTCCTCCCGTCCTCCTCCTCCTCCTTCTCCTCCTCCTTCTCCTCCTCCTCCTCCTCCCCTCCTCCTCCTTCTCCTCACCCTCCTCCTCCTCCTCCTCCTCTTCCTTCTCCTCCTCCTCCGCCTCCTCCTCCTCCTCATCCTTCCCCTCCTCCTCCTCCCCCTCTTGTCCTCTCATTTCAAGCGTAGCAATAAATAGCCAGGAGACGCAAACGAGACGGGAGAAATAGAGAGACAGAACAAAAAAAAACATGTGACTTACCCAACCCATTTGTATCAATGGAAACGAGGAGTTGGCCGAAACTTGTATGGACAATCAACTTGATGTGTAAGCTACTTGGGAGGCGTCACTGTGCTGGGCCCCGCAAGCAGGCCTCGAAAGTGGCGACAGTTTCACAGATCGCAGCCCCCAGGGATGGCGAGGTCTAATTTGAATCTGCGTGTGGCGTCACTGTGCTGGGCCCCCCAGCAGGCCTCGAAAGTGGCGACAGTTTCACAGATCGCAGCCCCCCAGGGATGGCGAGGTCTAATTTGAATCTGCGGGTGGTACACACTGTGCTGGGCCCCGCAAGCAGGCCTCGAAAGTGGCGACAGTTTCACAGATCGCAGCCCCCCAGGGATGGCGAGGTCTAATTTGAATCTGCGTGTGGATACACACTGTGCTGGGCCCCGCAAGCAGGCCTCGAAAGTGGCGACAGTTTCACAGATCGCAGCCCCCCAGGGATGGCGAGGTCTAATTTGAATATGCGGTGGGTACCCACTGTGCTGGGCACCTCAGCAGCCCTCGAAAGTGGCGACAGTTTCACAAATCGCGGCCCCCCAGGGATGGCGAGGTCTAATTTGAATCTGCGGTGGGTACCCACTGTGCTGGGCCCCCCAGCAGGCCTCGAAAGTGCCGACAGTTTCACAGATCGCAGCCCCCCAGGGTATGGCGAGGTCTAATTTATCTGCGGTGGGTACCCACTGTGCTGGGCCCCCCAGCAGGCATCGAAAGTGGCGACAGTTTCACAGATCGCAGCCCCCCAGGGATGGCGAGGTCTAATTTGAGTCCGCGGTGGGTACCCACTGTGCTGGGCCCCCCAGCAGGCCTCGAAAGTGGCGACAGTTTCACAAATCGCAGCCCCCCAGGGATGGCGAGGTCTAATTTGAATCCGCGGTGGGTACCCACTGTGCTGGGCCCCCCAGCAGGCCTCGAAAGTGGCGACGATTCACAGATCGCAGCCCCCCAGGGATGGCGAGGTCTAATTTAAAGCTGCGGTGGGTACACACTGTGTTGGGCCCCTCAGCAGCCTTCGAAAGTGGCGACCAGTTTCACAGATCGCAGCCCCCCAGGGATGGCGAGGTCAAATTTGAATCTGCGGTGAGTACCAAATGTGCTGGGCCTCTCAGCAGCCTTCGAAAGTGGTGACAGTTTCACAGATCGCAGCCCCCCAGGGATGGCGAGGTACCATTTGAGTCTGCGGTGGGTACCCACTGTGCTGGGCCCCCCAGCAGGCATCGAAAGTGGCGACAGGTTCACAGATCGCAGACCCCCAGGGATGGCGAGGTCCCATTTGAGTTTGCGTTGGGTACCCACTGCGCTGGGCCCCCCAGCAGGCTTCGAAAGTGGCGACAGTTTCACAGATCGCAGCCCCCCAGGGATGGCGAGGTCCCATTTGAGTCTGCGGTGGGTACCCACTGTGCTGGGCCCCCCAGCAGGCCTCGAAAGTGGCGACAGTTTCACAAATCGCAGCCCCCCAGGTATGGCGAGGTCCTATTTGAGTCTGCGGTGGGTACCCACTGTGCTGGGCCCCCCGGCAGGCCTCGAAAGTGGCGACAATGTTACAGATCGCAGCCCCCCAGGGATGGCGAGGTCCCATTTGAGTTTGCGGTGGGTACCCACTGGAGTACCAACTGTGCTGGGCCCCCCAGCAGGCCTCGAAAGTGCCGACAGTTTCACAGATCGCAGCCCTCCAGAGATGGCGAGGTCTAATTTGAATCTGCGGTGGGTACCCACTGTGCTGGGCCCCCCAGCAGGCCTCGAAAGTGGCGACAGTTTCACAGATCGCAGCCCCCCAGGGATGGCGAGGTCCCATTTGAATCTGCGGTGAGAACCCATTGTGCTGGGCCCCTCAGCAGCCTTCGAAAGTGGTGACAGTTTCACAGATCGCAGCCCCCCAGGGATGGCGAGGTACCATTTGAGTCTGCGGTGGGTACCCACTGTGCTGGGCCCCCCGGCAGGCCTCGAAAGTGGCGACAGTTTCACAAATCGCGGCCCCCCAGGGATGGCGAGGTCCCATTTGAGTCTGCGGTGGGTACCCACTGTGCTGGGCCCCCCAGTAGGCCTCGAAAGTGGCGACAGTTTCACAGATCGCAGCCCCCCAGGGATGGCGAGGTCCCATTTGAGTCTGCGGTTGGTACCCACTGTGCTGGGCCCCCCAGCAGGCCTCGAAAGTGGCGACAGTTTCACAGATCGCAGCCCCCAGGGATGGCGAGGTCTAATTTGAGTCTGCGGTGGGTACCCACTGTGCTGGGCCCCCCAGCAGGCCTCGAAAGTGGCGGGATGGCGACGAGCGAGGTAAAAGGAGGGGGTTGAAGAGAGGGACGGGAACGAAGGAAGGAGACGCGCGAGCAGTGCTCTATTCAAAACGAGAACCCAACGCAGGAGGGTTGGGAACAAAAGTGCTGTAAATCGCAAATCGATTACATGTTGTGCACTCAGGCAGTCAATGGGCATGCACGGCCTATTACGAGAACGCCAGATATTTTGTGCAAGTCGGACCACATACCTATCACAGTTTCGTTTAGTTTTCCGAGGGCTATCGTGCTGCAAGGTCGACATATCCATCAACGTCCCATCAAAGGTTGGGCGCTCGCTGACGGGGAGGCTAACATGGAATTCCAGCGGCAAGTGCAGGATAGTTTACGCTGGTGTCCTGATATGACCACGTTTGAGAGCCAGTTGAGCCGTATACTACACACTGTCCCTCACACGACGGCGGCAAGCAGACGACGATCCGAGAGGACGAGTCGTAGTCAGACCTTGAAGGCAGCCAGACGCTCGATCACTGGAAGTACGGGGCTGGACAGGCAGGACCGGGTGAGGGAGATGCGAAGACTGCGGAAAGCATCGCGGGCGGCAGTTACGGGGCGCAAGCTGCTGAAGATCCGCACGGCCAACATATCCAGGCCACGAGCCATGCCAATGGCAGTGCACACGGAGGCCAGCGAGTTGACTGACAGAGCATCAATCCGCACTGCCGCGGAGGAGTTCGGGAGGGGGAGGTTCACGGATGTATCGAACAGTTACGCCACACAAGGGATGCGATTACAACAATTACACAGTGAAGGAACCAATGCTATTTTTGACGGTAGGTCCCATGCACATTTGAGCTTATTTGAGGTTCTACAGGGTAGGACCGCTTTGTACGTTGGAAAAGCCGTTGGAATCGACGACATACCGCCAGAGGTCTACAAGGCATTGCCATTTATTGTGTGTTTGTTTTATTGGAATTGTTTCCAGCGGCAGCAACGTGATCTAGCACACGCGTGCCCTACGTCATGGAAGATTTTGGAGTACGCCAGAATACCCAAGCCAGACGTTACCGGGCCGCTCACTTTTGAAAAGAGTTTGCGGTGTATTGGCAAGCGAGCGGCCAGCCATAAATGGTATCAAGTATCGTTACGTGATCAGCTCCGTTTACAGGTGAAGCCCGTCGATTGTGTCCATTTTTTGGTTTAAGCGAGGCCGGAGGACGACGCATATTTCGGGCACCATCCGGCCGATATTTCATGGCGCTACGGTCTATCAGGGTGCTTCTGCATATGTAGCGTCGCTGGACGTTCGCACTGCGTTTGATGATATGCTGCACGGTGTTCGTGAAAAGGCAATGCGGTGGAGATGCATTTACCCAATGACGATCTCTCATGTCTTCCGAGAGCTCAGCGACCTCCAAGCACGCATATCTTTGGATGGATGTGACTTGACTGAGTTGTTCCCGTACACCAAAGGAGGCACACAGGGCGGCGTCGACACCCCTGGCCTGTTCAAAATCATGATAGAGTACCTCCTGCATAGCACTGTTGTCTCCTGGAAGGCCCGTGGGCTCGGCAGCATGCTGTCGAGCGGGACTCCAATATCTCATTTAATTCGGTGCGACAACATTTGGCTGATAGCTGACACGAGGGGCGACCTCGAACGCATGATGGCGGCGACCACGGAGGCGATCGAAGCCAGCGGATTCTCTTGGAAAGGGGCTTCGTTGCAGGTCGCGGCGGCGGGTGACGCGTCGAGCGCGGACGCTGCCAGGCTTCACCGTGGCAGCCCGGCCGGCCCCGCACCGTGCTTTCGTGGTGGTCGACGGCATGGTCGTGCTGGGGGAAATCATCGACAGCCAGGGCAGCACGTCGGCCAGCATCGACTTCTGGTTGAGCGAAGCCGAAAGTTACTTCTGGGCAGATTCGCGCGCCTTGTGCGCGCCAGCTACGGTGCAAGACAAGATGCGAGCATGGTGCAGAGGACCGCGGGCTTCGGCACTTCACGGGACAGAGACGTGGCACGTGACAGCTGATCTCATGCACAAGCTGCGGAGCTGGGAGTTCAAATTCCTCCGACGCGCCTTTCGGCTAAGACGTAAACCAGCCGAGACGTATCAAGACGATCTGCAAATCAAGGCAAGCAGGATAGAAGGACGGATGGCCCGTGCGGGCTTTCAATCAATTCATATTGTTGTTCTCGGCTACGTGTGCAAAGCTGCCAACTACGAGCCCGCGGCGTGCAACGACGAGGGCATGTCGCCGCTATGTTTGGCAAGAGGTTACAACTCGAGAGTAACGTGGGCCACGGTGAAAGATTTGGACGCACAGCGAAGGCGCACGGAAGGGCTGCTCCAGAGAAATAGCGGGCACCGGCCAGCATGGGAAGATCCGATCGTGATGGCTCTGGGAGTGCATTGGCGCCATCAACGTGGGTCCACGTAATGGGCAGAGTGGAAAGCAATTCGCGTGCAGGTCGCTTCGGCTTTCTGTTCAAACTGGCGGTTACCAGTTGACGACGGCGAGACTGCCGGAGATCGTCCAGCAAAGCGTATGCGCATAGACCGGGAAATCCGAGAATTATTAACTAACCTTTGAAGGTCTTGAGCCGGAGCCGCACGAGTTGCTCGACAGTGCCGCGGTCAACTTGGGCGTCTGCAAGGCAGCACTTTCTTAATGTCACGGATTCACAAATACTTCGAGATGTTGTATGTGGACATGCTGAGTCACACGACCCAGGGTACGAGCCACTCCTGACACGGGTGCTGAACAGGACCGTCGATCACATGGGCAGAGGTTGGCTACCCCCGCACATCAACCAAGACCCGGTGCAGTGGTGGAGGCGGGATTACAACAAGGTGGCCGACGGCTTGGCTGATCTCACCATGGACAAGCGGTGCACATGGACAAGGCAATACACGACTATTCAACGCATAGACAACGCCAACCTCATCATTCAGACAGACGGAGGACTTCGTGAACGAGACTGCGCAGCAGCGTCGTTCATCATCGGCCTCTGGGGTAAGCGGGATATCGAGGACGATGACAGCGAGTATTATTACGAACCGTGGATCGCACATGGCACATTTCTAGAATTACTTATGACCGTATTCGGCGCAGAAGCAATAGCATTAGATGCGGCTTCCCGGGAGGCTGCTGGCCTTCTTGCAACAAGAGTGTAAAACAGCTGAAGACTGAGGTTTCTTGGGTTGTGGCAAAGTAAGGAAAAAGAGAGAGAGAGAGAGACAAACACAACTCCTGAGGGGGTGGAGGAGGACCTACATGATCCTACATCATCGATCCTTCTTCCCTGTCCTCTTCCTCCTCCTTCCTATTGCTCCCCCCCTGGCGCAGCGGGAGCTGGCCCACTCCGCTGAACCAGAGGAGGAAGAAAGGTGGGCGGAGAAGTTACAATGATGATGGAGGGGGGGGGGCGGGATAAGGATGAGAGAGGGTGGAGGGTTGAAGAGGACGGATGATGGAGGGGAACACGTGACAGAGGGAGGAGGGGGAGGAGGAGGAGGAGGAGGAGGAGGAGGAGGAGGACGAGGAGGAGGAGGAGGAGGAGGAGGAGGAGGAAGAGGAGGAGGAGGAGGAGGGGGGGACATGGCGACGATGGAGGGAGGGGGCATGTGTCTGTAGGAAGGAGTAGGGAAGGCGAGGGATGGGAGAGGAATGCGGGTGATGGAGTGGGAGGAGAGAGCCAATGTGTCAGCATCGGCCGACCCCTAAAGCATAGTCTCGCGAAGGACCCAGCCTTATGTAGCGGTGTGTGGCGCAAAGCGCGACCCCCTCTCCATCTAGTGCGCGCCACTTTGCGGTGCGGATGGGGCTGCGGAGCAAGCGCGCACAGGCGCGATGGACTCTCTGAAGTGCGGGATCCGCGCGAGGAGTGTGCAGAACTGGGCGCGGACCCACATTCGGTCGCACCCACTGGGGCCGCCCGTGGAATTCCCAGAGGGCCACAATCCGTGTGAGGAGTGGGCCGGGATGGGCCCTGGCCCGTATGCCAGCACCCTCGCTCTGGCGGTGGAGCCCCCTGCGCGGCATAGCCTGCGTGTGGGGTGTGCCAGGATGGGCGTGGTGCCGCCATGCGGGCGTACCAGCTGGGGCCGCGGGAAGGGCTCATTGCGGGGCACCGTGCGTGAGAAAAGTGCGCCGCGCGGCGCCCTCACGCGGGCGCGCCCACTGGTGCCACAGATGGAGCTCCCTGTGAGACGCGATCCGAGTGAGGAGTGTGCCGGAACGGGTGCGGCGCCGCCGTGCGGGCGCGCCCATTAGAGCCGTGGGCGGAGCTTCCTGTGGGGCACCATTCGCGCGAGGGGCGTGCCGAAATCGGCGCGGCGCCGCCATTCGGACGTGTTCACTGGGGCCGCAGGTGGAGCTCCCTATGTGGCACGAGCGCGTGAGTGCGAGCGGCGCAACAGGCGCGGCGCCACCATGCGGGCGCGTCGACTGGTGCCGCAGGTTGAGCTTCACCTGGGGCGCGAAGCGTGTGAGGAGTGCGCCGGCTTGGGCGCGGCGCCACCATGCGCGCGCGCCCGCAGGGGCCGTAGATGGAGCACCCCAGCTAAGGGAGCACGAAGCGTGCGAGGGGTGCCCCGAAATGGGCATGCCGACGAATAGCAGAGGCAGGGAGAGGAGAGATGGGGTGAGGAGGGAGGTCGAGATGGCGTTGAGGTGTGATGTGGGACGCGCGGCGCTGCGTATTTCAAGACGAGAAGCAGCACATGAGGTTTGGGGGCAAGCATTCGGCTGCGTGACGCTGCCAGGGCCCTCCGAGCCGGGGGGTGGCCCCGAGGCACGGTGAGAGTCATCGCATCTCCCTCAGGCTAGACAACCGCCCCGGTCGCAATGCGCTGAACTGGGGTCGGGACTTAAGAGACGGGGGTCAATGCAAACGGAGGTCAGTCAGAGCGCCGGACTCTGCAGGATCCTGCAGAGCCAGGGCTGCATTGACCCAGGCTTGGGTGCAGGATCCTGCAGGACCCTCCAGGATTTTGCCAGATCGTGCAGAGGTTGGCTGACCTGAATCTGGATTGACCCGGGTAAGAAGATCCCCGATGTGGGAGGGTCAGCTACGCGTGAGAGCGACCTTCCGTCGGAGCGTCCTTGGTGCGAGCCTGCTGCTGCGAGGACTGCTGCGCGGTCCTCGCAGCACTGACTTCCGCGTTGGGATGGGACCCCGCCCCCGAGCCCCTTAGACCCGCTCGCCACGGGTCACTATTGCCTGGGGTCCTTGTTGCGTGTAGCCGAGAGGGGGGTGGTGACGAGAGGATGAGGACGACGAGGAGTTGTGTTTACTCTTGAGACGTGGGATAGCAGTTTTGGCAACCACGTTTGATCCCATGTTCCTCGTCCTCTTCCTCCTAATCGTCGTCCTCCACCGCCCCTTCTCTTCTTCCTCCTCCTCATCCTCCTCCTACTCCTCCGCCTTGGCTCAATCTGCCAAGCTCCTTGGGGAGCAAAGTGGATACCGCTAGTCCACAGCTAAACACCGTCTTTCGGCTTGTGCTCAAAGGTCTGGGTCGTGGTACCAGAGTGCTGAAACGGTTTTCTCTCATCATCTGGTCCTCTTCCGCGCGGGGTCCATGGGAACGGCCAGCTGCGACCGGCCGAGTGTTTCTGGGAGGGGCGCTCCTCGTCGGCGAGGGCACGATGGATGATGATAGCCGTTCTGGGGTTTCTAATTACTCTTGTGGCTCGCCCCCAGCGCCGTGGGGACGAGCTCCTCCGACAACCCCAGCCATTCTGACACCGACGAGGCATCCCAGGCGCCGCCGCCAACGTCGCAAACCACACCATGGTGAGGAGGATGAGCTGCCTCGTGGGAGGACACGGCCATCTGCAGCCGACATGGTCCACGCGATGGACCAGGAGGGCGTCACGCTCTCCCGGGTGGCCACGTTCCCGTCCCAGGAGGTCAATACAGGGCGACTGGAGGCTACGCGCGCGGGGGGGCGCAGGCCGTCGTCAACCCAGTCTTGCTGATCCATGGGCGAATGCGGCAGCTGTGCTGGGTGCGCCGCCTGCTCATGCTTCGCCTGGTCGTGATGTTGCTGGAAACGCCGCTGCAGGAGGCATGGCGACTTCCATTCCTTTTTTCGGGAGCGGCTGCGTCGTCAGCGGCAGCACGTGCGGGCCCTGCTCAGGCAACGTCCTGGGGCCCATACATCGCGCAGGTGGTCGCCAACCAGGTGCAGGTGCACACCACATCCATTACCCCTCGCGTCCAGGAGGCGGTCGTTTTCTCGACGCAGGAGGCGCAGGGCACCATCGTCACCCAGCTTCAGTAGCACGTAGCCCCCACCGTCCGCAGTGTCGACGGCCGTGATGTGGCGATCAGTGATTCGCAGCGTTCCCAGCAGCGGCGGGAGGACGCGTTTCAGCCCATACGGAGTGACATCGCTCGCATCAACAATCGCTTGGCGTTTGCTGAGGCTGAGCAACGACTTGCCAACTTCGCTCGCCTTGCCGATTTCGACCGTGGTCCGCACCCCAACATGTGTTCGTTCAACACCGCGACCGATGCTGACCACGGGGAGGTTCACTCCTCCAGCACTGGATGGCTAGCTGACGCCGAGGTGAACCACGCAGACGTTTCCCCCCGCAGCCGCGGTCATGCTTTTGGCTTTCTGCGCGTCAGCCCCGACAGACCCCCCAAGCAGATCAGACGCGAGCAGCAGTCCAAGCACCCCGCAGATTCGTTGGCGGGCTGCACGTCAGCTCGGACTGGCGCACGCCGAGGGGCACTCGATCGTTGAGGTCGCATGTCGTGGAGCCTTTGATGAGCCGAAGCTGCTCTGGAACAGTGCCGTGGCGGCCAGGCTCGGGCTGGACGCGCGGCCTATCACCGAGGATATCAAGCGCGCGTTCGCCAGCCTCGACGCTAGCGCGTGGTTGTGGCCCTGGCAAATGGGCGCAACCATGGAGGATCGCGCCGATGGAGCAGAGAAGATCGGAAAGCGCGCTACAACTTATCTCTTGGAACGCTCGTGGGCTGCGCTGCCACGGGGCGGTCCTGCGCATGGCTAACTTTCGGCGCATTGATATATGTCCCCGTGCTCGCGCTGCGATATGCATGCGAGAATTCCATGGGCCTGAAGTGGACCTCGATTTTCTATTTCGCAAGGTGCTGAATGAACGTCGCATCCTGTTTACTGCCTCGTCTTCGCCAGGCAATGGTGGAGCGTGCGTCCTAGCCCCCTGGTGCGCCGCGGACCAGCTCTGTCACCCTCCGCCGACCCCGGCCCCGACGCGCGCGCGTGAAAACTTCGCACCTGGCCGCGGGCAAGAGACGCACCTTCTCAGCGCCCACACCTCTGGCTTCAGCACCCGGCGCAGGCAGCGCGTCCGACAGTTCAACAGTTCTGGCACGCGGCCGCGGCATGGGCTCGCGCCGACGAGCGCAGCAGGTGCTTCCCGGCCATGGGCGACTTCAACGTCTCCAAGGTGGCCCCTGATTCGCACTTGCGCCCCCGAGCGCGGCGGCCATCAGAAGAGCTCGGTCAGAGGCATCAGCCTTGTGCTCTCTTGTGCGCCATGGCGCGGCTGACATTATGTCGCCCATGATCGCGCACTTCTGCAGGCTCACAACAGTTTGCTTTACGAAAAGTCGCACGGTTATGTCACTCGCATCTCCCTTCGCGAAGGGAACGGAGGTTGCGCTGGCCGCGCAACAGAGGGCTGCCCGTCTATCAGGCCTTGGCTCTCAGCGATCACGCTATCTCGCCGGCGCGGCGTCGCCCCCAGCTGAGGATGCACGCCCGTGACCGCGCAGTGCCAGACCTTGCCAATGCGGGCGCCTAAATACCAGCAGCTTCTGGCCAGGTCTCGACCACATGGATTGGAGTGGCTGCGCGCCTGGGACTTCATGACTCGCGCTGCATTTCTCGCGCGCGATATTCTACCATCGCTTCCACTTGCCTCGGCTCGGCAGGGGGCAGAGGACGTTTGCCGACTTGCCCTGCGTAGCGCGGCGCGGGCCATCTGGCGCCAAGGTGCTTCGCCGGCAAGTGAGCTCTTGAATCCTTCGGCGATCGTGCGACGCTTCCTGCGCGATGACGAGCGCGGCGTTGATTCGCCGCTGAAGGCCGGGGCCTGTCGCGACTCGGCTTCGCGCCTCAATTGCGAGTGGAATGGGCGCCAACGACGCGCTGCGGCCGAGCGACTGCGGGCAGGCCCACCCAGCGCCGTACGCTGCAACCGTCGGCGCTGCCTCCTGAAGGCACCCCGCCGCGCCATTGGCTTTCGCTGCTGGCGCTGGGCCACAGTTCCCCGGCGGAAGCGGGCGCGCCCCCACCTGCAAGGGGCTCGCTGTTTTCTGGGCCGGCTGGGCTGGCCGACGCCCCTGCTGAAGGGGTGTTGTCGCAAGCTGTTTCCGCGGCCCCAACAGACGTCTGTCCTCCTCCCGGGGCCTCGGCCCCGACAGCGAGTTGCCCGAGTGGCGGGTCTCATCGGGGGCCCGCGCCTCGCGGGGATGCGGCGAGGCAGCCGAGGCGCAGACGCTTGGCCTGGCGGTTCGTCTTCGACTTCTGCGCCGGGGCCCCGATTGGCGCTGCCTCGAGCTCTCGACCTGGGCGCGGGAAAACGGAATCAGGAGGCGGCGCCTGCGGGGGGGGGTCTACGCCCGAGATGCCGAAGGCGACGTCCATGAGTTCACCGCGGATGCGTCGTCTGATTCGGCATGGGGGGCTCGCGGCGCGACTTCTGCCTTGCGCGGGTGCTGGGCGCGGTCTTCCGCGCGAAACCCTCGCAGTCAATCGCTGCAAATGATTCTTGTCTGGCCGTTCGCGCCCGTTGCTGCGAATTGCCCGACTTGCAGCTACTTGCGCGCGAAGCTCTGGCACGTTGTCACCGACGTTGCAAGCCCAGCGCGCTTGGTCCCAATGAGCCCCGCATAGTGCGCGGCTTGCCCATGACTCAGCGGCGGCGGCCCTTCGCTTGCAAAGTTTCGACGCGGTTGTTGCGCCTGCCGCGGTCTACGGTCTCTCGACGACAGCCGAGACAGCAGTCCATCGGTCGCGGATTCCGTCGACGCGAGCGAAGACGCCGCGCGAGATGGTCGGCGTCAACAAGCATCCCAGCAGAAGTTGGGAGGAAGCGGGGCGACGTTACGCTGCATGAAAAAAGTGCGCGTCGTTCAGGCATCTGTCCTGCGTCAGACTGGCTCGCTGCGATGGATCCCCCCCTGCGGCGTCTTGTGGCGCGTCTTGCCACTGGTGACCCGCAAGCGCGGCCAGCGCAAATGTTACGACGGCGCCCGCCCAGAGTTCGACGCCGAGGCCGGCCGCGACGTAGGTGGACAGTTGCCGTCGATTCTTTCTTAAGACAAGAGCAAGGCACGAGTTGATCACATGTCGTAGGTCGCCAAGAGCCTTTCCCCTGGCAGCGGTTCGAGACTGCATTTTCGAATTACACGTGGTGGAACGCATAATGTAAGATAGAATTTTATAACTATACACCCCCAGTCCGAATGTTCTTTCCTCTTGCATGGGAACGCACGGATCCAGTTGGATCCAATTACGTGTGCGCGAGAGTCACGTGGATCTTATTTCCGCGTCTTCTGGATCCAATTTTTTGGCGTGGAAGCTTCGTGGATCCAATTCTTTTGGAATGAATTTATAATAACAGTTAAAACAAAGCGGCCCATGGGGAAATTGATCCACGGAGCCTTGGACCTTTAGCACAAGCTATGATTCTACGGGGGAGGGGTTCCCCTACCGAAAGACACAACACACGGGGTCCGGCCAACTCCCACAGCCGCCATAACATGCGGGTGCTCGAGCACCACAGCGGGCCTGGCCAACTCCAGCAGCCTCCCATAACATATGCCACGCCCCACCTCGACGCAAGCGCGATATGATCGCTGCGTCCGCATGCGCTAAAGCAAACGACACTTCGCATTTGTCGCGCGGGCCCACGAGGAAAATCTTTCGCTATATTCACAATTTCATGCATGCGCATGTCCTTGCCGTATTGTTTCACGCCCTCCGTCTCCGCTTGCGGAGCGAGCGGCCTCCAGGCCTCTCGACGGGACGTGACTTGACGTGACATGGTATGTTGACTGGGCCCGCCGCGGGGCTTCGACCGCCACCCGATGATCTCCACCCCAAAGGGCGAGCGCCCAAAGAACATGCTGACCTTGCGATGGCCTTCGATGCCCTTCGTCTGCTGTCACAGAAGAACGATGATTCGGCGGCGGCGGCGGCGGCGGTCGTCAAACTTCAGCTGCGCGCCGCGGCAGAGCCTCGCCGCCATCGCATCCAGCGTGGATGCTTAAGGCCGCCAGTCCTCTTCTCACACTGCGGAGCTGAATGCTCTGGCTAGGATGGTGGTTTGGCACAAGAATACATGTGGACATCGACTTGGATTCTTCACCTTCGGTGCACGCGGCGCCTCCCCCTCGGCGGGGTCGGCATTGATGGCAGCTGCCTTCGAGTTCCATGTCGCCCGGCTTCTTGTTCGATACCCGGGCGCTCCATCATGAGATGCAGAGTTGAGCACGGGTTGGGAACGGCAGATAAGTTTTCTTTCGCGCCTCGGCTGGAGCGGCGCAGGCGTGCCCGCTCAGATGGTGCGCCGTTGGCAATCGAGTCATAGAAGGTTCTTCGTCACCGGTGCGAAGGGCCTGCGCGCGTGTCGCCTGCAGATCGGCCAGCGGCAGGTGCGTGTGTTTATGATGTTGACGTTTTTCTTTCAGGTCTAAGACGGGCTTCTTGTGGCCCCCTCGTCGAGGCAGCCCGACCGCTGGCGTCTCTCTGCCTGCAGGATAACAAGTGCATAGCATTGCCTCTCCGCGGGCAGGCATCGCCGTCGTCGTCCGAGAGGATTCGCGCGGCGCTCGCCCTGACGGCGCCGAGCCTTCCTCATTGTCCAATCCGAGGCGTGGCCAAATATGGAGGCATGCGGTTTGGGCCCGAGGCCGCGCTGGCCTTGCAGTGGAAGCCCCCCGCGGCAAACCCTTCCTTCAGGGCGAGGAGCGCGGCGGCCACGAGAGCCCTGCTGAGGCTGAATAGGAATTATAACTCGTGCGCTCTCCCTGCGCTGTCTTGCCATGCCCAGCTCGTTCCTTCTTCCCAGTCTTGTTTCGAAAGAGCCGCGGGTCCCCGACCAACTTCTGAGGCCTCCCCAACACGAATCGGAAATTGGAGTTTGTCTGGCTTCAGGGGTGGATCCCTGGGCGCAGCCATCAATCGATGCAGGTCATGGCTCAGGCGACAGCACTGCGTTTCGTTTGCCACACGTTCAATGGCGCCAGTCAGTGAGTGAGCGAGCTTGGAGGGCATGCGATACAGCATGGCACGTTTGTTCGGTATCTTAGGAATCTATGGAGCCCGCCGTGCTGGTGTCAACCTGAAGACATACGTCATTTCCTGGTCATACGTCATTTCCTGGTCAGTGTTCTCGAGTCCGTTCCCAGCCCGAAGCCGAGGGGAAAAGGTGTTGCGGACGGCGGCCGGAGCGGCGTCGCTGGAGCGGCGTCGCTAGAATTGCAGGAGGCTGCCGCCGCGAACCGTCGCATTCGACCCCAGCGCGTCCACGCCGGGACCGTCACTTCGGCCCTCGTTCCCGACGGCCTCCCCGCTCTCTTGGTTCGTCGGGCTCGGTCCCGGCTGCCAGAGGTTGCCCCCCCTGCCACTGGGTGCGACGGACCGTCGCTGGGCGGCCCTGCGTCTTCTCCCTGGCTCGCTCCCAGCCCTCCCGCGTGCGCGAAGTCCGCCCACTTCCCAAGTGCATCCCTACCGCAATTGTATTGGCTCAGGTATTGGCAAGCTAACATTGAAGCGCTGCTCACTGCGCAGTGCCTTAGAAAAGAAGCCTCTACCAACGGACCCTATACAGGAACGGCCCCTCGGTCGTCTACTTGCATCCAAAGGTTATCAGCCTTTTCTTAACCGCTCTCTGCTGTTGCAATTCGCGTCATCTTGGATTCCGCCGCTGTGCGACGCAGCCTTGTTGCGCTGCCCGCAAACGCGGGTTCTCCTCGACGGCGCATGATAGCAGTAGCATCATGGAGAGGGCACGAGAAACTGTGCTACACATTCCCCCCCGCTCAGGCGACGGCAGCGCTGCGTCTCTCGCGGCGGCCCTCGGGGAACTCTCACCCGATTATCCGATGCTTCCGCCGCCCCCCTCTCGCGCGCCACGACCCTCGCGACAGCCGCTGGATTCGCCCCCCGCTGAGCCCGATACATCCCGCCCGTCGGTGGCCACGCCCGCAGTTGTCACGTCTGCCGTCGGAGCCGACCCTGGCTTCACTGCGCCCACTGCCTCCCCGCCCACTTTCGCCGACACCAGCGTCGGTAGAGTCGCCCGCATCGGCCGCTGCACCGCGAACGCGTCTCCAGGCATTGCTCTCGCTCGCAGCCGCCGCTGGGCCAAGGTTCCGTCGCCTACAAGCGTCTCCGTCACAGAACATGCGCGGGCCATAGAGAATCGCGCCGGGCGGGCGTCTCAGCGACAGGTTCCCGAAAGGTATCGCATTCGTTCTCCTACTCGAGACTCCAGCCACAGCCCCTCAGAAAGGCGCTCCCGGCAGGGCTCTCAGCAGTGCAACCTCTTCGCGCAATCCTTTCCCGCTGCCAGCGATCTGGCAGAGCTCCGAGATCAGGTTGAGACATATGCGACCCAACTTCTGCTGGGTCTGGCCGCTCAGACGGCCACAATGAGACAGGAGCTGCAACATGCCCTTGCCTTGGTCGGTGCTAGGATCGCCGAGGATCGATCGATCATCTCCCAGGCCCAATCCCAGTTCGACCAGATGGAGTCACACCGAGGTGCCAACTCCAAAAAGACCCAGACGCTTCGCGACTACCTCCTGCGTCTGGAGGCACAACTCGTGGCCGCCAGGGATACAGAGACTGCTGCCGTCAGGACACTACACGATGAGCTCCTGATGGCACGACAGACCCCACCTATGGAGGTACATGGATCTACGGACTCAGCTACGCGAGGACTTGGATACGCTTCGCACCCAGGTCCACCAGCACGCTGCTACGATACACTCCACCCACACCACCCTCACGTTCGAGTTAGATGGTAAGCTGCGCGGTGCCGAGACGGCCCTCTCCCACCGTCTTAAAGCTTTCGAAGGACGCGCGCAAACGCTTGAGAACCGAGTCTTTCAGGTCGAGCAGCAGATCTTCGAACTGCGGACTGCGCTGGCTGAGTTGCATGTTCCACGGGCCCAGACTGATCCGCTGGGCACCCCGACTTCGGTTTACGATTTCGCCTCCTTCGAAGCCTGCATGGCCGAGGTACAGCAGACGGCGGACTACGCGCAGTCACGACTCAGCCAGATCCCCCAAGAAAGAGACGCTGGAAAAGCTCGGGCCGACTCACTACTCACCCGCATGGAACAAGGTCGCGAAGCACACAAGCAACGACTCCAAGACCTTGAGCGCAGGCTGGACAGTAACTCCCAGCGGACCCACGATACCAACGTCGAGATACGCGGTCTCCAACATAGGTCCAACAAATGCAGCGCAGCGCCACGACCAACGAAGCTACACTGACCTCACACGTCAGCAACACTGAGCTCCACCTCCAACCTCCTGACCATCGACGCGCTCCTACGCCTGCCGACGGCGACATCCGCACAGACCGTGCACGACGTGCTTCGCTAGGTGCCGCTTCAGCCGCGGCTTCCGCTCGGACACATAGCGTTTCTCCTGTTCGACCTCCATATCTCCACCGCAACCGGTTCCTCCGCAGGCGTTGTCACACGTCTCTGCTACCAACACCATTCCTATCAAGGAGTCCGACACCATACGTATAACACAACTGCGACGCATTACACAACTACAGGAGTGGCAGCAGACGGTTCGCAACAATTTTGGTAGGGTTGCTGGGCGCCCTGTCGAGGCTTACGCATTCCTCTACGTTGCAGAACAACCCACAACGACCTACGATGACCTCCAGGACAGCGGCGACTTCGAGAGCACCGACTGCGAATTCGCAGCCGGGCTCGCTGTTGTTCTGAAGTCTTAGCTACGCTACCGCATCAAGAACCTCACGGCTGAGGAGCACAATGCCGGCCGCGTGCTCCAGGGCCGACATTATCTATTGGACGATATTACAGTCCTACAGAGTCACAGCAGTCGACGACACCCTGCACGACTTTGAGCGTCTGCAACTATTACGCATGCGGGACGACGACCTACAACGGTTCATCGTGGACTGGGACATCTGTTATTGGAATTCCGCGAAACACCCGACACGATAATATTGGAGGCACTATTCCGAGTTCAGATACGAAACCATCTGATGAAACAGGACATACACGACTACAACAAAATGACTTCCAACGACCCCAACAGAACAGAACGCACGAGTGGCTTCGGCAACGAGTTCTCGACAATCTCGAACTCCACCGATTTGAGCGCAACCAGCATAACCCCACGAACGAGTCGACCAGACACGACTATGTGATCTGCGCGGCGTTAAAATCGGCAGGTGCAAGAATGGAGAGAGGTGCGAGATGTTCCACATCGGCTCCACACGACTTTCACGGTCCTCCACCCGCGATCACAACGACAGACGATCCTCTATTGGGGAGCTGGCAGGCCTCGGGGCGGGGGGCGCGCGTGAAGCCCGTTCCGTTCACTTCCCTCTTGCATCCTTGCCGCGACTGCATTGGCGCAGGCATTGGCATGCTAACCTTGAAGCGCTGTTCGCTGCGCAGCGCCTTGGAGAAGAAGCCTCTACCAACGGACCCTATACAGGAACGGCCCCCCGGCCGTCTACCTGCATTCACATCCCGGGCGCGGGCGCAGCCGAAAGCGCTGCGCGGGGGAGGCGGGCACCCTCAAGTCGGTCCTGTCCCTTCTCTAAAGGAGGAATCATCAGAAATAGTCAAAAATAGTATGGCAAATCTGTTTTGACCAGTATCGAGCATTCTTGGTGCATTTGGGGGGCATTTTTATTGTTTTGTTCCAGATCCGCCTGTAGGGGGACATGCCCGACCTAAGGGTACACTTTGGGAGAGCGCCCATCCCAGGCCGTCGTTAGCGTTTGCGGGGGCGCGAGGGTGGACTCGGCAGGTGGCTTCCGGACATCTCTTGCCCAGGGCTCTTCCAGCTCCTCGCCCTCCCCCCCGCATTCCTTCCTTTTGCCCCACTTGTCTTCTCGCTCGACTCGGCCCCGGCGAGAAGGAGGGCCACAAGCGCGGTTTTACCCGTTTCGGCGCTCATCGGCGGTTTTACCCGTTCGTTGTTCAATGTTGCCATGGATTTAAGGCAGAGTGCGAACCTTTGCCGTCCCGAGCAGCTGGCAGGGAAA